GAAAGCTCTTAATAWTGGATAACTAACAACAATTTATTCTGATTTATAAACAGAATTTTGTGCCCAAAATAACATGACAAAGGGAGTGGGGGCATTTCTTCCAAGGCTAGCTTAACCATCTATGGAAAGCACAGAAGCCAATTAACTGGACACTTGCATCTCCTGCCAGCCCTGGCTGTAGGAAATGTCAATACCTTGAAGGGTGTGGMAGGTGCAAATGAAGAACAGSCCCCAAAATTAAAGCCAAGRGCAATTCCCYTCCAACAGCTGCCTCACTAAATTCTCTGCTTATCAAGACGTCACTGGAGGCTTTGGACAAGGGAAACAAGGGCAAAGCATTTAATGCACATTAAGATAAAAAGAAAGCACAGTCAAGATGAACAATCACCAAGATTTACACTAAATCAATTTGCTTCAGGACACACTGATTTGTTATGCAGAGCAAGCTGTATTGAAAGTTTCATAGGAAGATGAAAAAGGTACCACAAGGCTGAACCATAAAAGGAAATACTGTCTCWTGAAGCATCGTTTCCACCTGAATTACAAACCACATAAAATATCAACTTCTTCCTTACTAAGTGGGCTAAAGTTTATAAAAGTCAGGCAWTCACTTTGTGTTTCCTTGGTGCTCTCAGAATTTCTGATCCACTGAAAGCAGCAATTGTGTTGGAAGAGCAGACCACACGTGTCTACAAAAAGTGCCAGAAACTATGAACTGGAGTCTACCTGGCTTAGCACCTGCTAGAGAGCTGGGCCACTGTGAACACGGCTAATATGTTCAATATATAATCTCAGGCTCTGCACCTGGTGATGTGGCAGGTAACCTCGGTGTGCTGTGCCRATGCAACCAGTTTAGCTTGTGGCTGCAGCTGTGAGAAGACACCAGCAGACTGTTGTGGTGCTTCCATAGTGCTCCCATAGTGTTTCCCACCGCGCTCTGTGCACACCAACCAGCCCCCTCTGCCAAACTGGCACCGAGCCTCCCCTCACAGCTCCCTTGGTGGTCACCCCCATCACATTTCCCCTCGTACCCACAGGAGGGGTCCCCCTCACAGCTCCCCAAGTAGCCACGAAAGGGTCCCCCCTCACCAATCCCCTCCGTACCCACAGAGGGGTCTCTTCCCTCACAGCGCCCCGGTCTCCCCTCACCCGACTCCTCGTCCTTCTTGTCGAATTTTTTCAGCATGGTGCTGCCGAGCGGCCCGTCGCTGCGGCCCTCCCGTCCCGTGGCAGTGGCAGTCCCAGTCTAGATGCCGGTCCCGATCCCGGTCCCGATGCCGGTCCCGATGCCGGTCCCGATGCCGGTCCCGATCCCTTTCCCCGTCCCAGCACCGCCCCCGCCCCTTCCTGCCCCCGCCCTTTCCTGCCAGCCTGTCACTGTCAGCGCGACCGCCGCACTGCGCAGGCGCGGGGCCGCCCCCTGGACGTGGCGCTGGGCGTGGGGCGGAGCCGTGATTGACAGCCGGGGGGCGGGGCCAATGGGCAATGGCGAGCTCTGATTGGCGGAGGGGCGGGGCTAAGAGGGGTCTGGGGGTCGGCACTGGGAGCGGGACTGGGGACACTGGGGCTGGAGGGGAGACGGGGACACTGCTGGGGACACTGGGACACTACTGGGGACACTACTGGGGACACTGAGACACTACTGGGGACACTGGGGCTGGAGGGGACACTGGGACACTACTGGGGACACTGAGACACTACTGGGGACACTGGGGCTGGAGGGGGCACTGGGACACTACTGGGGACACTGGGGCTGGAGGGGACACGGGGACACTACTGGAGACACTGGGGCACTACTGGGGAAACTGGGGCTGGAGGGGGCACTGGGACACTACTGGGGCTGGGGCAGGAGGCACTGGTACCAGGGGAGATCCTGGTCCTTGGGGAAGGCACTGGGATCCCTGAGGGGACTCTGGGCAAGGGAAGGGCACTGGGGAGATGAGGGGACACTAGGGGCAGAGTGGGCTGGAGCATGGGGGTACACTGGCACTCGGGGAAGACAGATGGGACACTGGGGCAGGGCATGGAAAGGAGGAGATCCTGGCAGGCTCGGTGTCACAGGGACAAGTGAAGGTGGCAGGGGAGAACTCCCTTCTGGGGATGAACAGTTGTCCCCCAGGCTGCCTGTCCTGAAATGTCCCACCTGGATGCACCATCACTGGCAGCTCCTCCTGTGTCCCCTGTCCCCACTGCTGCTGGCACCCTGTCTGTACCCTGGACCACCACCTCCAGGTYCAGCACCACAGGACACACTCGGTGGGTGCAGGGGGATGACTCAAGGGGCCAGTGCTGCCTGACATTACCTGAGCCTCAGGTCAGGCAGGGATGGCAAAAAACCTGTTACCCACCTTTCCACCTCACCCCAGCCCAGCACTTGCTGGCACATCCCTTCCTGAAATCTCTGCCTCCCATGGAAYGTGGGGTCACCCCAGCTGCTTCTGCCCCTTTCCCAAAGCCAGTGCCCCYTCCAAGGCGAAAGTGCTCACTCACCCTGCAGGTACTCTTCAAAGAGCATGGCCGTGTCCCCCACCAGCTCCAGTGGCCCCCCTGAAGGTGTCCCCCAGCCTCTGCCTCGCTCGCACCGCCCTGTACTTTGCACGGGGCGGCCGCACTCTGCTCTGCACTGCTCTTATCTCCCAGCTGTGCTGGAAGTGGCGGCTCCGGTGGCACAACACGATGTCCCCATTGTCCCAGAGCTGCTGTGGGCTCCCAGGGCCAGGGGCTGGCTCTGCTGTTGGTGCAGGGYCTGACACCCCTCATTTGGAATTTAATGAYCTCCAGTGCTGRCCCCAGCCCAGAACATGCCCTCACMRCATCTCTGGGGAAAGGGAACACAAAATGGGGGTGTAAAGGGGTRCAAAACCTGTATAAAACATAAGAAGTCATGTTTGATGCCACATTTTATTGTATACGCTCACTCAAAACTCCGGCTTTGAGACTTGGCTGAGCACTGTGGAGGGTTTTGTGTGCTCCAGTCTCCCAGATGGAAGAAGCACACAGGAAAAGCTGCCTTGSCTGGATGCAGCCCCTTTGGGACATSTCAGTGGTGGATGARMAGGGAGCAACTCCAWGCACAGAAATCYCCRTAGTGCCTGGGGCTGGAGCAGCTGTGCTCTGGCACTGGCCCAGTCAAGGTAAACCCAGCTGTATCCTCTCCAGTGGTGCTGAGGTTTAATTTGGTTATTAAACCAAATCCTCTGTGTGGCTGCTGCTATGCCACGAACACTGGCACCGGAGGGATGAGGTGCCATGTCCACAGTCCCCTGCTGACACACTGATGCTTCTCCACGCTTCCCTCTGCCAGTGCCCCTGGCAGCCCCGCTGCCTTCTCCAGCCCTGCCATATCCCAGCCAGGACAGTTCATCTCCTGCGCCCAACGCGGGCCATCAGCTCGGCATTGGCAKCTGCCTTGGCCTGCAGCTCCTTCTCTCTGGCCAGGTCGAGCAGGATTTTCAGTAAGTGTGTGTGGACATCGAATGACAGAGACACCTTCCTCCCCTTTTTCCTGGGAGCAGCTCTCTTGGTTGGGCTCATCGGCCAGGGCAGTGCTTGTATGTCTGATCCCTCTAGCAGTGGTGGGCTGGCTTTGTCCGGATGAGACCCTTCCCCAGAGCCATCGTCACCCCTCCTCATTTTGGGAAGACCCGGCGGCATCTTGTTATCTCTGGTGGCTTCCTGCCTCATCAGCTTCCSTCCATCCACGGCTCGGGGGGCTGGYGGGAGCGGTCCCTTCCAGGCTCTCGTTGGTGCCCCGAGGAGCAGCAGGAAGGTGAGCAGCATCCTGCCTCGCAGCGTGGCCGGGAGTGCCTGTGGGGAGCACGAGGCTGGTGCTGAGCCTCACCCCCACCACACTGCCACAGTCCCACAGCCCCCCAGGCAGGACATGTCCCCACCAAGGTGCCACCCTCAGACCCCCTCCACTCCCCGTCAGACTTCACCTTCTTTTCAGGAACCATTCATTTTGCCACTCCGGTTTTAAACCTTTTGAACAGGGCGGGGAAGTTTGGGGAGGCTGAAGGGGATGGGGAAGCAAATCACCTGGGTGKCCTTGTCCTTTCATGCAGTCCCTGGACAGATGCTGGCTGTGCCCTCGATTTCACACMCTTCAGCCCTCTGTCACCCAGGGGAGGAGACAATCCTGCTCAGRAGGGTGGCTGCTTGGGTGCTGTGGCTGCTTCCCAACCCATTCCTGCCCTTTGGCCAGGCAAATGTGACATGCCCAGGGTTTCAGGGTTGGGCAGACTGTGGGGCTTTCTTCCTCCCACGCCTTCCCTGGCAGATGCCATCCCCGACAGTGTTGCTGGCTCTCTGGGGCAAAAKCCACCCACCAAAGAGGGACACGAGCCACTTGGCCTAAAATACACACCAACTGATCGCAGTGGGATGACAAGGGCAGGAGTCTGGCCACATGTGCTGACCTGTGACAAGTCTCAGCAACTTTCTCCACCCATGCCTCACCCTGGTCGCAGGGAGGGCCCCAGGGATTGCAGAGTGCTGTGCCACAGGGTGAGGATCAGGGTGCTGGGATGTAGGATGGGGCTCAGAACAGGTGYGAGGGGCACTGCTGCACCAATCCTGCTCTATGGCTGCCTCTCCCCAAAATCAGTCACCCAGGAGGGTTTGTCCAGCTGCAAGAGGAGCAGTGAAAGGCATCCAACCTCCTGCAATATATCTCTGAGGTGAAACCCTTCATAAAGTACCACAGTAGGCAGACAGAGGTGGTTAACTTTCTGAGAAATGGGGAATGAAAAGCATCCAACACCCTGTAACCCACTTCCCAGCCAAAAGCCCCTGAAAAGCRCCACTGAGGGTGCAGCCTCACCATTTACAGCAGGTCCTCCTCTCCTTGATGTTCAGGCAGAGCTCCTGGGGTGCAGGGACCACAAGCTGGGGATTTGCTGTGCTCCCTGCCAAGCCCTGGCTCTTATCCTGTCCCAGCTCCACCTCTGACCCG